TAACATAAGCCTGAAAACAGGGGCGGATTTATTGATATTATTAATAAGTATTTCGTGCGCACGTTAAACTTATTGCGTGGCCGCGAAATACTACTTCGTGGCCACAATTAAACATTTTTTTTGACCATGTCATAAGAGGGGCTCCGTACATATAAATGTAATTAATCCTAATTGAATGGAAATTTCACTTCATGCAGCTATCTAAATGTATTTGAATACCATGGCCTGTTTTTATTGTTTAATGTTTTTCTGTGCCCCCATGAAAACATGCTGCCTTCTGTACATTCTAAGCAATTTCTCTGATCTGAGTAACATTACAATTTCTATCAGAAATCGTATCTGTTGTCATGTCTCCTGGTTATTTAATAACTATAAATTATGAAGTGTTATTTAAAGAGTTTGCCCCAAGTGATCTCTTTTCAGGAAAAAGAACCGGAGAGATAGAGCATTAGGGTGCATACACAGAGCCTAAGAGAACACATCAATTGCACCCTTTTTATTATGAAAGATACGAATTTGAATTATTTCTAGCTCAGGAAATGATCACAGACTACCTAGCACTGGTTGAGGTTGAAATAACTTTAGCTAAACGTTTTTTGTAACCACATTTCTTGTAACTTCATTCTGAAGAATGGTGAGTGGATGTTTATGATGGATTCTATGATACTGAGATGTCATGTGATGCTGGAGCCAAATACCTCCAAACCCTGCAGCCCTTTCTCCAGTTTAACAACTGAATAAACTGCAGGAGATTTAAATCCTTAAAAAATTAAGTTATTTATTACCTTATTGACCAAAAACTAAATGGTTAGAAATAAGAAAAGATCTGGAAATAAAAAAAGAAAATTGCCTACAGATATGACACCCAGTGTTACAAGAACCTTATCTATATAGCGCCAATTCACAACACCTGTCATCTCAAGGCACTTTACAGTTCACCATATCATCCAGTCAAATTGATGCAAAGTTTTCTATCTATGGAAAACCAGTTGATTGCATCGACTCATTGGCTCGAAGGCAATCCTTCACACTAAGCATGCTTGAAGCGACAGTGGAGAGGAAAAACAGTCACATTTAATATTTGGTTTTATAATCATTAAAAAAGACATTTAGTATTTTATCCATTATGTTATATTTTAATCTGTCAGTATTATGTGCTCTGGGCCTGCTGCACAGGTTAACCAGTCATATTTGATCATTTCTTGGGCCACACAATATCATAAAGTCGCTGCTCTCACGTCTGCAGCTAGTACAAAATGCTGCTGCACGACTTTTGACAGGTACTCGAAAGAGAGAACATGTGACCCCTGTCCTGGCCTTACTTCACTGGCTGCCTGTATATTTTAGGATTCATTTTAAAATTCTTATGTTTGTTTTTAAATCATTGCATAATCTTGCCCCAGATAACCTCACTGAGCTTCTTCATCCTTACGTACCCCATCGGTCTCTCATGTCAGCAAATCAGCTGCTCTTGGAGGAACCGAGAACAAAAAGGAAGCTCAGAGGGGACAGGGCTTTCTCTGTTATGGGCCCCAAATTATGGAATGACTTACCTTTGCAGGTCAGAGAGGCCCCTTCTTTGCCCATTTTTAAAGCTCGTCTTAAAACCCATCTATTTTACTTGGCTTTCAACACCAGTGGGATCTAGTTTTTAAATTGTATGTTTTTGTTTTTGTTTAACTGTTTTTAAATTACTTTTATTATGTTGTGTTCTTAAATTGTACAGCACTTTGTATCAACTGTGGTTGTTTTAAAGTGCTTTATAAATAAAGTTGGTATGGTATGGTATGGTATAAAACAGAAAGAATTAATTCCAATAGTTTCAGAAATAATTTTCAAATTTTATTTTGAAATAATCTTGATAAAGACAAAGTAATGAATATAGTAGGCCTATATTTTATTTTATGTTCCTGATAAAAAAAAAAACTGTGGCTCTTTTTGTCACACCAAGCTACTGAGGCCCATAGAGCTTTATTTTGACACCCCCAGACCGGAACAAGTAGAGTGCTTCTAACTTTGTCTCTTCAGAGAGCGATTTAGAGCAGAGCAGTCCGTCTGTTGAGCGGACACAGAGGGAAAAGTTGGTCAAGATGGCAAATCCTGCAGAGCCGGAGTGAAAGGGCGCTGCTGCCCCTCTGAAGACTTAAAACAAGCTGCGCCTGTATTTCCTCCTGAAGGGGAATCCAGCGATGCAAACTGCGCCAGAAGGTAGGAACAACAAACAATCCTTTAAATATTTTCAAACATTTAACAAAACACATCTCGCTACAGTTTATTTCTTCCTTCAAAGCCTCCCCCTTCATTTCCCCTAGTTTATAGTATTTTCTCTGGTAGGGTTGCAGCTATTTATGTGTGCGTAAAGGCGTGCGTAAACATATGGTTAACTTGGAGTTTACTGTTAACCTGCTCATATTAAATGAAACAATGTTGCCTTTTTTGACATATCTGCAGCAGGCTGGGTGCTGATGAAGCACACTGACAGTTTTAGACCATCAGCCTGCAGGAGCCTGCTCCCACATTTTCCTTTTGGATCAAACTCTCCCCAAAAATCTCCCTTCTTTTCCCAACCCGTCAGGAATATATATGGCTGTGTAGGAGTAACCTATGATTGAGATCATGTCAGGAAGTCGCCAGCCGTCGGTAACCCGGCCCGCGTCCCTTGGAAAATTCCGGGATGCAGCGCCAGGATCACCGACAGCTGTATTTTTAGGAATGGGTGGATACCAAAAACATGTTCCTTTATTTTTGTCCCGGCGGTAAATACCACAAGCCCTATGCGCATAGGCGTCAGCTATAAACGCTCGGCTGCTTTCTTAAAAAAATATCCAAATAAATAAAGAAGTAGAATAGAATTGCTCCGCCGCTGCAAAACAGACAGAAGCAACAGGGATAATGTGGCATCAAGCTGGAAAAGTCTCTGCTTATGCACAGAAAAAGGTAGACATTTTTTTTGGATATGCTTCTCTTAATGGCTTGCATCCCCCTGCAGGCCTGAGAGGGATTCCCTGAAGAAAAATGCAAGAGGCTGAAGCTGAAGTGAGACAGCTTGAGCTGGAAGAGAGCTGACTCATCAAATATCATTCCCTCCCTGTTCCACCAAGCAGCCAGAAACAGCTCAGATCCCCTAATGTCTGCTTAGAGAGGACCTCTTACCCCCTCCCATCTTTCACTCTCACCCAAGGAGATTATTAGAAGGAGAAGGTGCAGCAGTGGTCTATCCAGCGTCTGGGACGTCCCATTGTAACCGCTCATTCACCTCAGCTTCCTCCTCCCTCCCCATCACAATTGGTGCTTCTCCATCCCTCACGCCTCACAGACCATGATGTTTCGGGATCAGGTGGGCGTGCTGGCCAGCTGGTTTAAGGGATGGAACGAGTGCGAGCAGACCGTGGCTCTGGTGTCCCTGCTGAAGAGAGTGAGCCGGACCCAGGCCCGCTTCCTGCAGGTCTGCTTGGAGCACTCCCTGGCTGAATGCACGGAGCTGCAGGTCCTGGAGGGAGAAGCAAACAATCCAGGTAGGATATCTGCTTCTGAAACTTAAAGAGGACTCTTAGAAGTTTTTAAAACTGATCAAACCTCCGCAACCTAAATGTGGTTTATTGGGATTATTTGGAAATAAACAACTACACAGAATAGTTTGTAAGTGAAAGGAAAATAATACGCTTTTGAAATGATTTATAAATGGAATTCTTTAAAGTTTGGCATGCCTTTGTATTCAGCATCCTGAGTCAAATACTAAGATTATGGCTATACTTTGACTGGACCTTTCTAACACATAGATATGCTTTGATTTTGACTATTCCACAGCTTGGGCTACATATTTATGGTCTTTGTCCTGCTGGAAGGTGAACCATATCCAGATCTAATATCTTCTTAACTTACAGTTATCCTCCAAAACCTGCTCTTTAGTTTTTTCTTAATTTCACTTCTAATCAAGCAGCTTTTTCCCCCAGCTCCTTACAAAGAAAAGTCAATTTTCTACAGGGTGGGGTTGTGTTTAGGTTGAGAAGTAGTGTTACTTTTCTGTACCTCCCACTAGTTTGCGGTATTCCTACGTTGCTTTTTACAAATTAAACGTTGAGCTTCTTACAGTTTTCAGTCAACAAAGATGTTCTTCTTGCCACCCTCCCATACAGAATTGATTTGTGATTTTCAAATGTAATATTTGGTCTCCTGACAGGTCGTTGGAGTTTGGATCTAAAGCAGCTCCTCCAGTGTTGCCATTTTCCTCTCGCATTCTTCTCTAGCTTATGCTATCCTTGCAATTAATTCATCCTCCTTCTATGTGCAGAGGGTCTGAACTGAGCTCTGTGATATTTAAAGCCAGGTGGATTGTCTAAATTGACCCTGCCTTTAACCTCTCCACATCTCTCTGCCTGACTGGTCTACTGTTTGCCTTGGTTGGTCATTAACGTTCTCTAACAAACATATGAGGCTTTCACAGAACCGCAGGATTTTTGCTGAGATGTGTAACTACCCTCAGTTGGACTCCGCTTACAAATGAGTATAGCTGTTGTGATTATAAGCAGACAACATTAATGTTGTCAATATATAGTTTATTTGCATTTCTTTTGCGTATGTATGTACTGTGGCTTGCAAAAGTATTTGTCCTGTTTTCTTGTAATCTGATGTGAAAGAGCAACACAAAGTGGTATGCAAAGGTGAAGTAGAATGCAAACTATGCATGATTTAAAAACAGGCTTTCCAAACTTAAAAGTGCAGTATGCAAAAGTATTCAACCCTCTTCTCTTCCAGTGCAACTAAGTGCATTCAGAAGTTGCCTGGTGATTGCTAATGACTAAATAGAGTCCACCTGTATATGATGTAATATCAGTACTGATATTGCTGCTCTGTAATGGCTTCTGGATTTGGTTAACATAATATTGGGGAGCAAATGGCATCATGAAATGTGAAGGAGCACACCAGACAGGTCAGGGATAAAGTTGTGGAGAAGTTTTTAGCAGGCTTAGGTTATAGAAAGATTCTCCCATATCTAACAGATGTTCAGTCATCTGGAAATGGAGGAATCATGGCAGAACTGTAAACTGACCGAGACAAGGCGGTCCACCTAAATGTAGAGGCCTAACAAGGGGAGCACTGATGAGCACGTACGAACCACTCAGGTGGGAAAAACGTTCTTTGGACAACTTTTTGTCGTTTGCTGAATAAATCTTCTCTTTATGTAGAATGGCAAGAAGAAGCTATTGTTGAAACAAGTCCCATTTACAGTTTGCTAGAAACCATGTTTGAGACACAGCAGACAAGGAAGAAGATGCTTTGGTCAGATTAAACTAAAACTGAGCATTTTGGCTAATATACAAAATACTATATGTGGCAGAGATTTAACAGCTCTGAACACACCATCCCTGCTGTGAAATATGGTGGTGGCAGCATAATGTTTTGGTGGTTCGTCTCTCCAGCAGGGACAGGGAAAATGTTCAGAGTTAATTGTAAGATAGATGAAGCGGAACACAGAGTAATCGGGGAAACAAACTTGTTGGAGTCTGTAAAACACCATCCAGCAGGACAACAACCCTAAACATCCAGCCAGGGCTACAATAGAAGGGTTTAAACAAAACCTATCCATGTGTTAGAACGGCCTAGTCCAGACCTAGACCCAATCGAGAATCTCTGGCAAGATCAGAACACTTACGTTTACAAACACTCTCCTTCCAATCTGACTGAAACTTGAGCTGTTTAGCAAAGAAGAACAAACAAAAATTCTGTCACTATGTGTCCAAAGCTAATTGAAACGCAGCTAATAAAACATGCAGCTGTAATTGCAGCAGCAGGTCGTTCAGCAAAGTCCAGACTCAGGGGGGCTGAGTTCATTCTACTTTACAACTGTAAACCAATTGTTTGTCTTTCTCATAAACTTCCACTGAAATATATTGATGTTTGTTTGTAATGTGACAAGGTGTGGGAAAATTTTTCAAGGGGTATGAATACTTTATCAAGCCAATGTATATCTGTTTGTATCTATATGTATGATTTTTCTGTTTTTTAAGTTGTTCTGAATTAATGTCAAAGTTAAATTGTTCTAGATTTACCCTCATGTAGAGATGCGTGGTGCCCTCACTGTATTACAAGACTTTTCCTGTTTTAGACATTTATGCAGATCCATCCGAGTTATGCAAATGGTTTGGAAGTCATGTGAAAAATAATTTCAGTTCAAATTTGATTGTGCTTAGCGTAGAGTCGACTGACAGCGCTTTGGGATGCTCAGTGGGCCATTCCAACTGTAATATGGGAGGGGTAATGGGGTGGGGGTTCTGCCTGGGTTTGCATCACACTGCAGCATGGCCATGGTAACAGAAACCCTGGCAACGGAGAAGGCTGATGGAAAAATAGAATGAAGCACTGCTGCAATGGAGAACCAGGTTCTCAGCCTACCTGTAGCAGCAAAGGATGGATGATCATATCTGGTCAGGAGCAGTAATGTGTCTCAAAGGAGCATATCCCTTTCTGGGGGGGCTGTAGCTCCAGCTAACAGGCTGCTCTGTGGTATCGTTTGATAAAAGAGGAAACGCCAAGACTGACTTCATAAAGTTTTCTCCCAAAGTCCCCTGGGGAAAAAAGGTGGTTCATACTATTAGAGACCAAAGTAATCTGAATTAGAGGAGCACACCTTGGAGCAACGTTTTCATTGCAAATAATACTGTCGTTAATTAGGTTAGGGTGTCGGTTTGTTAAACCTTCTACCTTTTAAATGGACTAATCTCCTGTTAAACTTCAGGACTGGAACTCAACATAGTAGTGGTCACTTCTCTTTCACCACTTTATTCTTAGGTGGCCATCATGTTAGTAATTGCTGCTTAGGCAAGGAGTCCTTGTGATTTTGCCAAAACAGTTTTTAGACCATAAAGTCAAAACTGTTACTGCACTGCTTAATTTGACTGAATTAAATGTAAAAATATCAAAAAATAAGGATATTTTAAAAAAAGAGGTACAAACCTACTTGAGGGAGGATGATTTTAATTTATACTTTATGTTATGAAAATAGAACTAAATGATCATGATGGAAATTAGTTCATCCTTTATTTCACAATCCTTTTTTTGTTGTTTGGAAACCAGAAGATGCTTCATTAATCTTTTGATTTATTGATTGATTTTTATTTTACTTTTTTTTTTCCAATCAAAAGAACTGACCGATGTATTCTTGGCCAGCTCTAAATGGGGCCAACAGGGGCCAGTGCCCCCAAAGAACTGGTCCTGGCCCCTGTTTTGTGAACATGCACTACAAAATATTACATTTTTCTGAAAATAAGGGTATTTTTTCCCTTGATTTGAGAAAGAACTTTACATAGTTTGCCAATGGGGAAAAAGAAGATTTTTGTTTGAAGTGAGGAAAAAAAAAATATTTGCATTACTTATTGCAAGTGTATCATATCTATATATCTTACCTTTAAGACCTAAAATACTCACCTGCTCAAATTAAGAGCAAATATAGTTATTTTAAGAAGTTCTTCCTTTTTTTGAATCATATTCTTTTGGAATTTCATACCGAATGATTTTTTCATGATGACATGTGCTGACAAAACACACTGTAAATGATTTGTCCATTGCACCAATTCAATATTTCGCCTTTACATTTCATTCAACAATTATTTAGGTGTTGTAGATGGCTTTAAGTTACAGTCATACTAACATAGGATCACATTTTTTACCTCGTAAAGCAGGAGTCTGCATCTTTGGCTTTGTGGCTCACTTAATATGTTAAATTATGCACATTTTTTTCTTTTTTTTTCTGGTGTTTGTTCTCCTTTTGTTCTGTACCCTTATGAAAAAAACAATAGTCCCAATAAAAAAATCTAAATCAACTAAACAAAAACTATATTTGGCTGCAGCTAGTAATTTTTTTTTAAATAATCTTGCATTAAATCCCTGCATGTCTATTGTTTTTCACCCTGACAATGTATTTCCAGTCACTGCTCTTTACACTCATACTTGAGACGGATTCATTGTGTACAAGTTGCTAAAACTCATGAAAGAGTAAAGAGATGCTAAAATTGGGGTTAGTCACAATATCTGTTTTGCAACATTTAAACTACAAGCAAAATAGCAACACAACTCCAGTTAAAGTAATGTGTAGAATCTTCATTTTTAAGAATAGAGATTTAAGGATATGCTTACAGATTTTTTTTCTATACCATTCCATCTTAATACACCTTATTTTATTTAGTTATGCACATCAGTTTACTAAATAATACTAAACATTAGTGCATGTTGGTAATGGTGTTGGTTCATAGGGGATTGGCCTAACCAAACAAACAAAAAAAAAGTCTTGTGATCATTGATAAAGCGATGACATTGCAGCAGAGAGAGCCAACATAATTGTGCAACTTGTGTAAACTGTAACTGCACATACTCCAAATAGCCTCTGAGATAAACTCTGTTAACGCAGCTTCTTTCACAGCCCCACACCGTTCTGCTGTGCTTTGTTTACAAAATAAATGACGCCTCTAAAATGAGTACAAGTGAGCCTCATCTTCATTTTTTTGCAACTAGGGCTTAA